GGAAGGGATATATCTAAAGAGAGAAATTCAGTTTAGGAAGCTGAACTATTTCAAACCGCAGTCCTACTTTACATCCTTTGGTGGGCGTTTATAAAGTCAATCCAGGAGACACATTAATTTTTCTTTCTGATTAGCAATCACTCCAAGAGCGAAGACAACAAAGACTGTCAATGTTACCTTCTGCAGTAGTGTAGTGCTTAAACTATTAAAATATGCAGCAATGGACATTTTTAGAGGAGGGCTGTGGTCCCTAATTGCTGCAAATTCAGGGGTCTACTGGACCATGACCAGTTTCTAATGCAGGTTTAATGTCAGTTCAGATATTTTCTGATTTTTTCATCTCATCAGTTTAGAGAATATTTACCTGATACCCTGATTATCAAAACTAGCTTAAAAAAGTGAGGTGGGTCTTTGCGTTCTTTTAGCTTAGCAGTGGTTTTCACCTTGTATCTCAACTGTGACCTTCCAGGGGAAAGTGAGGCCTGCAGAGCTTTAGATGTTGTTCTGGTTTCATTTCTGAATGATTGGTAGTTCACCTTTGTGCTCCTGAATTAATTATGTTCTGGCAAAGGTTAACCACTGTTATATGTTTTCTCCAATTGTGGATAACGACTTTCATAGCAGTTGGCTGGAGTTCCAAAGCCTTAAAAATTGCTTTGTTATCTTTCTGAGACTGATAGATTATCATGGCTCTAATGAAGACACATATAGGGTTGAAACGTTAGTCTCCAGACGCTTTGCACAGCAAAGCTGAAAAATGATCAGAGAGCTCCAGCCCTCTCTGCCTTTGCAAGTTTGACATCATTCAGTTGTGCAGCAACTAATTCAGCCACTTTTTGTGGAAAGATATGCAGACTGCTTCAACTTGATAGATTTTCATGGCTTTGTTTCTCATCTATTATTGAATTTTTTATATAGAGGAATGATATATGATGAACATGGGTTGCCCATTAGAAAGGGCAAGTCTGCTACAGAGGGAGGACACACCGCTAAAATCCAATCAGGGTGTCACTTACAGAGTACAGTGAGCTTTGATTGGCCTGTTGCACAATGTAATGCAATTTACTGCATCACAATGACATGCAACAGCTCTTTTCCCTTTCATTTAAAATTATACATGGATACTTCATATCATCATGAAAGGTCTTGATTTGGTAGTTTAGAATTAAAGACATCTTGGTACAGCAAGTGAAACTGACCAAAACAGTGTGATTAATCAGTCAGTCTGGGATTTTACTAGAAGATAGTTACTTTTTAATGAATGGAAATGTTTTCTTTTTTGTTGTTGTTGTTGTCCATTTTCCTTCAGAAATGTAATTAACATAATTTAAAAGTTGCCTTTAGTATTCACGTAACTCATCATTAATAACATTTCAGTAAAATAAAAGAGCAGAACCATCAGAAGTCTGTAAGAGGGACAATACTTATTCAATGCGCTGTATGAACAAACATTTGAGGTGTTTACTGCCTTTACAGACTTGAATGAGAGGAAACGGCTGAAAGTAGTGGTTTCCATGGCAACAGACAAAAGAAAAAGCTGAGAATCTCCTACCCTGAAAAACTCTTTAGTGGAGCCAGAGTCCAGAGTTCCATATGCTATCTCCGTCTGTTTGGCCAGATCCTCCGCACTTTCAATGGGAGACACCATTCTCTCCACAGTCAGAAAGGCAGCCAGGTTAGCCGTGTAGGAGGAGATGATGATTAGAGTAAAGAACCACCAGACGCCACCAACAATACGCCCAGACAGGGATCTACGGCGGGAAAGAAAACAAAAATAAACAAAAGGATTTATCCTCCAACAATCACTATCAGCAAGATCTTCTTCTGCTTCAATTTATTGACATTAAGCTACTTGACCTTCAACTTTCTGTCAAGATTTTTATAAAATATTTTTTAATCAATAACAAGTCATGTACAATTTAGCATTTCCCCCCTAAAGTTTAAGCAAGACAACAATCTAAGTGGCAATAAAAAGTTTCTGTCTCTCTTGTAAATGTGACACGTGAGAAATAAAACATGACCATAGCTCAAAAGTTTAAGCAGGTGAACTACATGTTCTAATTCGGCAACACAATTGTTGGGAAACAGGCAACATTGATTTGGAGTCATGTTGACACCTTTCACATCATCAGAGTGTGATGTAAAGGTTATGTCAACTCATCAGCTGATTCATCTCTGGAGCTCTGACCTCACTGCTCAGCACTGGTCTCAACTCTCACTGGCTTTCAGTTCATCTATGCTCAAATTCAAACCGAACTATTTCCAGTAAAAGCAGTAAACTAAACAATTTCTTTAGAAACATTGACTCTGTTACGCAAACTCTACACTTATTGTAAATATTCCCCTGAACTGGGCTGTGAACAGAAATGCATCTTGATTGTGTTTGTTTTTCTTCAGCTGCTAGGTTAGAAATCATGGCACATGATAAGAGCTTTTACCCACAGGGTTCTCACACTCAGCAGATATAAAAGACCATTTATTTGTACAATATGTGAGTCATTACTTTAGCTGCTAAAACACAGAAGTGATGCATTTGCTAATGCCGTAATTGTTCTAAGTTTTACATTTTAATTGATGAGTGGGACGTTTTTTTATGCATCGGGAAAAGAACGAATCTGGGCTGGCACTGACTATGCACACAAAATAACTATCAAACTGGATCAAGCTATGTAAGGTGTCACATATATTTAATCTGAAAACCAGTCGGAGCCATCGGGTTGCCAGTGTTCTTTGAAACATTTTGAAAATCCACTTCTCCATGTGAATGGGTCAGTAATTTTATTTCTGTTTTTATTGCAAAATACGAAATACTTGCATAATAATTTTGATTTGGAAATGTTGTTGTAAGGATGATTAATTAATTTATTTTCATGCTTTAGGTATGGATTTGTATGATTAGTACCTGCCAGCAAGCAATGTTTGATTTACAGAAATAAGCTTTAAGCCACTAATGAGCAGAAAATAACTTTTCAGTATTTTTAGAAGTGGAGACTCAAACCCTTCCCTTCCCCCACCTGTTGCCTTACAATGACAGGAAGGTACCTAACAGAAGACCTGATGATAAGAAAGAAAAATGGGTTTCTGTTGCAAAAAGCACAAAAATAAAGACTTCCATGCATTGTCCTTATGAGTAAATGGTGTTTTAAAAATCCAATTGGTAACCTCTAAGTGGCATATCTGCAATGGAACAAGCTACAGGCTGAACAGTCAAGCAGATTACCAATTAATTAACCAGCTAATTTTAGCAAGTTAACTTATGTCATCCAATAAAGAACAGGCTGAAAAAATATGATGTATTCTGTCCTATAAAACTATAAATAAATTTAGTGTGCATTTTATAAATTAAGTTTATGTATTAGTGTTTTTTGTTTTTGTTTTGTTTAGCAGATGTAAGAAAAATAGTAAAAATAACCTCTGGCATTGATAAAGTTTTAGTCTTTGGGCTTTACTTAAAAGCCTTAAACTCTGAGAAAGCACTAAGATAATTAAACTATTGTTGAGGATCTGCCAACAGAAGCATATTGTTGGGACACAGAATACCGCTGAGGCCAAAAAAGCTCTAGTTCAATTTTATCAATACTGATAGAAACTTATTTTAACTGAATCAAAAGTTGGCATGAAATGTAGAGGTCTTTTCCTGTAGATAATTACCAAACTAAATTATTATGATTGTTTTTCTGCTGGACATTGTAAAGTATCAACATTGATAAAATGTTGGAGATTTCAATCACATTACAATCACATTACACACTTACTGCACACTTACTGCAAAATTTGTAATGTTTTGCAGTAAAACGTTAGCAATATTAGTCAAAGCAGAAAGAGGAAAAGACTTATGAGAAAAAAAAACAATGAGAAAAAGTTAGAAAGCAAATGTAAATGTATAGTTTAATTCCAGTTCATTTGTGTGTTCAGCAATTAGCAGGCTGATTATTTGTTAACCTACCTGGGAGAGATGTCACATCCTTGTCTCATGAAGGCTCCAAGTGAGAACCACAGGCTGTTAAATATGCCAAACTCGTTAGTCGACTCATTGGTCTGGATCTGGCCGTCCTCGTACTCCTCAGTGTGCCACTCATAGGGGCTGAAGCGGCTGACGAGAAACAGCACCACGCTGACGCCGATGTAGGCAAAAACGATGCACATCCAGATCTCATAGGCCAGCGGGTCCAAGAAAGAAAACACTCCGGGTTTGGATTTCTGAGGCTTCTTGATCATGATGGAGATTCCCAGAGACATAAAAGGCTTAGAAAAGTCAATCACTTCCTCTCGCACCAATGTTATGGTCAAAGGCGCCACTGCGATATCTGCTTTCTGTCAAACCAGAAGAATAAAACAGCATAAAGATTTATCTTCAGTGAATGTTATCATGGCCTTGAAACCTTTTTGAAATCTTGCTGAAAACCACTAACTTTTAAAAACACACACCTTCAAATATTATTTGAATATAACCATTTTTATAGGGATGGGGTGAAGTAGTAAAATGCATGTCACAAGGTATCTACTAACACTTATTAAGGCCATGCAGTCAAGATGTATAACTTACTCCATACACCAACTCTCCAACCATTCCATTCCAGATTTTGGTTTCTGCATCTCTGGCTCCGTACTTTCCATCACCCACGATTCTCAGCTCATACTTGAAGCCGCAGTGTTTGGCTATCTCTGCAGCCAGATCAACACAGTAACCCTCGTAGCGTTCGTTGTCCACAAACTGGTCGGCGTTCTTTTTCAGCATAACATACGGAGCTTCCTGAAGGAGGAGAACAGAGCTGAATTACAATGAGGGAAATGGCTTCAAACATAGTATTTTCCCCAGATTAAATGTTCATCAGCTGGCCTCATGGCACCAATTAAATGCTCCTCTGCAGCATCACTTGTAAACGCATTGTAAAACATTTGTCAAAGTCTATCAGTTATGAATGCAACATTCATAACTGATAAATTGTTGTTATACTTACGGTCAGTTGTCTTTAACTTTTTCATGTCTCTACGCTCAAATTTCAACATATTTCTTTCCTAATTTGTGTTCTTTGTTATTTTAAGGTCACTTTCATTGTTTTTTGGTGTCAGTCATTTAATGATGTTTTACTTTTGCATTGACATAGAAAATGTAAACAGATGATGCCAAAAAAATTGAAATAAAATGAAATCATATTAAAAATTACCAAAATGGTGGTGACAACAACTGTTTTGTTTCCCCCGATTGTGTCGTTGCTGGATATATCTTTTTTGGTCACAACCATTTTGTTGTTTTCATTCCAGAATCCAATCTACAGGGAGAAAAAAGCAGAATATTTATGAGCTACAATGACATTGCAGATTTAGAGAAAAGTACACATCAGGGAATTACCATGCCAATAATCGCAAACGTTATAGCGAAAATAAGTTTTTATTGATCTTTTCAATCAAATAAAAGTATTTTTTGTTACATCATACAAAAAATATTCACAATATTAAGAGTAAAAAAAATGCACACAAAAATCTGACATTTCATAAGATAGATTTTTGTTTGGTTTTATGCATTCAGTTTGATCACCCCATGCAAAAAAAAAACAAAAACAGAAAAATAAAACCAAAACACAGGCAACTAGTAGGAGAAGTTTTTGTAAACCTTTGAATCTTGCTATGAGGAAATTTTAGACACTTACCTTCACAGGACCATTATCCGTTAATTCCATCACACCCACTGTGTAATTGAGTCTCTTGCCATGTTGATCAAACTGGATGTTTCCAGAAAGTCCGTCCACGTTCACCTGGGGGACACAAAGGAAAACATGTTTGTTCTTTTACATCTTTAGCTGCTTTTAAATATGTGTCCAACTTCAAAATCATTTTAAATGTCCATGTTAAAGATGGGAAAGACTTTCATTTGAGCTTGCCAATTTTTATTTTTTTTTTGTATTTCAAGCAAATACAAAAACAACGCATTATTCTCAGTAAACACACATGAATAATGCAAGCTAAAAACCTCAGTCTTTGATCAATCTCTTTGTATTTGGAATAATTTCAGCTTTTTTGGGTGCATTTTGTAAGGGAGAGCTCCTGTTACCACGGCAACAGGTCCTCACCAGTTTAACTGGTGAGCCTTGTTGTGAATGCATTTTGGCATCACAGAGCATGAGATGAATAATACTATGCCTCTTGTTGGGATTCTCTCTCTCTGTCATGCTCTGCCCATTCGGAAATGGGCAGAGCATTTAGAAAAGACTCTTCTGACGGTAGGTTGATTCCTGCATCAGTGTGTGACCACTGCTGGATGGATTCACACTAATCAGCTGATTAGTTTAAGAGTTGGTGTACATAACTGACACATTAAAATGTAAAGGATTCATCACCAAGATAAATATTGGAATGCTGAGAAAAAAAACTTTGACCTTCCTTTGCTAGCACAATACATGAACAGTTGTGTTCATGTATTGAACACAACCGTTCAATACAACTGGTGTGAATACAGCTGTGCATTCACACCAGCCTTGCTTAATCGAACTCTGTCTGGTTCATTTGATTAGTAAGTCTGGGTTATTTGTGAAGCTGTAAATGTGCAACTCTGTTGTGAATCAAAAAAGCAAATTTTTGGTGCACCTCAAAACTAAAATTCACTGGTTTTTGGTTTTATATACAAACTTCTTATGAAGGTCTCAGTTCATGTACATGTGTAAGGAAGATAGAACAACTCTCTTCAGATTCTAAAGTTCTACACATTTTGTAAATATCGGGTTTGACACACAGTTGAAGTTAGATGTAAATAAATCCAGATGGTTTATGTAAATAACCATCAAACTGACAGAGAGCGTACTTCCTTCTTAACAATATGGTCACAGCTGCAGGCAGTGCTTGTATACGTATTGAAGAACTGAGTCAGTGATTTCCAGTCAATGAGTCAGCAATTTTCAACAAAAATTGCAAGAGGATGTCATTTATAGCTGACATTTGGGTGTATATTCTGGAGTATCCTGCTTGCACATATCTGACTGATAAACGGTAAATACTATTCTAAACAGCTCTTGCAACGCTTTAGTTTTCCATTTATCGGAAATGTGCAAGTATGCAAGGTCATTATTACTAACTGAACTCTGATCGGAAGGCGCATGTATGAGAGCTAATTGGCAACATCAACTGAATACAGGAAACAAATGATCTGCAAATGTAAATTATTAATTTAGAATATAATCCAAAGCATCCAAAATGATTGGTGTCATTTCCGAATACATTTTAATTTTGTTCAAGTTATGATAGGAACCTGTAGGAGGACAGTTACCTGTTTCAGCGCTCGCTCAATTTCCACTCCCTGAGCCCAAGGCACAGCTGGATTAGCCAGACAGTCCCCTGTGTTGGCCCTCCTTGTGAAGTCAACGCGCTGCTTGTGAAGGTATCTGAAGGCTTCTGTCATCACCTGAACAGCATCGTAGGTCAGCGCTGATGTATACTAAAACGGACAAAATAGGACATGATCATAGATTTCTTTACAAAATATTTTGAACTCCCAGGCCAACATTGAACTAACAGACACCCCACAAATTCTAAGTAAACCTGATTCTAATTCTGAGCTACATCTCCTGCAGTCAGCAGGCCAGAGACCCAGGAAAGGTCACCAGTCCATCACAGGACAACACAGAGATGCAGCCATGCAGACACTCACTCCTACAGGTAATTTAGAAAGAACAATTTATCCTAGTCATTTGGCAAAAGCTGAATTGAAGGAGAAAGCTGGAGAACCGAGAAAGAAGCCATGCATGCAGGACCACAGTGCAACTGAGTCACCATGCAGAACATTGATATATAAATAAAATAAAATGTGTTTCTGTGCTGGACTGGTTTGGTTTGCAACAAAGCATACAGACTAAAATAGAATGTGATTTTAACAACATCCGCTTCTCCATTGTCAATGTTAAAGGTTCTACTGCAGCTTGGAGTGTCTCCATCAGGGTCATCAATGATGTAGTTACTATGGAACATTTATAAGGAAATACAAATACAGGAGCATGTTGGGCAGATGTGTAAAATCCGGCAGCTTCCCGGCCAAAACGGGAGACTTGACAGGCATGCAGGACAGACTGGGGCAGAACTGGTCAAAGCAGTGGAGAAATGACAAATGATAAAAGTTAAGTTTGCAGTTTTGTTTCCAGCATTATCATTTTTGTGTAAACTAGATTATTTCCACTCCATTTACTTTTGATATTTAACTATTGAATTTTGCTCTAATATATATATATAGATCCCACATTTTGAATCCAAAGTCAACTTGTTTTTCCTGACAGAATAATCGGACAGTTTCTTTTTGGAACTGTGATACATTAACACAGGATGGCGACTATGAAACACTTAAACCAAAAGAAATATTTTCCGCCCAAAGTTTCATCATCCCAAAACCTGAAGCTGCTCTGGCTCATCATCTTTCCAATATGTATTATTGTCATAATTAGAAAAAAAAATAACGTTATTTTATTATTTTTATAATAATAAAAATAATATAATTATAGTTATAATTGGGGCTGCACAGTGGCGCAGTTGGTAGAGCTGTTGCCGTGCAGCAAGAAGGTTCTGGGTTCGATTCCCGGCCCCGGTCTTTCTGCATGGAGTTTGCATGTTCTCCCTGTGCATGCATGGGTTTTCTCCAGGTACTCCAGTTTCCTCCCACAGTCCAAAAAACATGACTGTTAGGTTAATTGGTCTGTCTAAATTGCCCCTAGGTGTGTGTCTGTGTTGCCCTGCGACAGACTGGCGACCTGTCCTGGATGTACCCCGCCTCTCGCCCAGAACGTTAGCTGGAGATAGGCACCAGCACCCCTCCCGACCCCACTGAGGGACAAGGGTGTTCAGAAAATGGATGGATGGATGGATAGTTATAATTTACTTTAACTTGCAGATTATCTTGGCTGGCCTGTGTGCCAACATTTACTAGATCCTTTTATGTTATTTTATTATTCAATAATTTTGCATTATTATATATTTGTTCCATTTTCAAATGTAAAAAAAAGAGAATTAATGTCAACAAATACATTGCAATAGAATCCTTTAAAAGAAAAATGGAATCAGATGAAATAAAACGGTCAAATGCTTTAAGCTCACCCGTATTTTGCTGTCTGCTCCTGGATATTCCTTCTCCTCCAGTGCTTCCCATCGTTGGTTAAACTTTGAGACCAAAGGTTCTTCGAAATCAACAATCTGGAAGCCTGACACGTTAGCTCCACCATACTGAATTTTGGAAAGGTCTCCGTCAACAAAACCCTGAAAGCAGAATGGAAATAATTTATTCTGGGGTTGTTGTCTAAATGTAGGGAAACAAATTGATTTAGAAAACTGTGCAGTAATATGACGGAGGAACATTATAAAAACTGGATAAACATGTTTAAACTCACCAGATTAGCAATGATGTAGTGATAGCCTTTAATATGTTGGCCAATTTTGATGACCTGCAGGATTATAAACATAAGAAGAATTCAGAAAATCATATTATTACAGAAACTATGACTTTATAAAGGATAATTTGAGAAAATTTGTTGTGACTAAACACAATAAATACAAAATTAAATGTTTTAATAATGAAACTATTATTCCTGTATTGGCTAATTTTCATCATAAAACAATTAATTCACAAAAAGCAGATGTAAATCATATCAAATATAAAACACTACATACCTGCAGTAAAGAAAAACAAATATTTCTAGACACTGATGTACAGCGGGTAAAATAATTATTGAACACATCACCATTTTTAATTGTAAAACTATTTCTAAAGGTTTAATTGACAATAAATTTTCATCAGGTGTTGTAATAACCAAACTAATCCATACATAGAAAGAAGTCAAAACAAGTAGCTTCAGAAGTTAAGCTATGTCTAATAATGGAAAATAACAAAAGGAAAATTATTGAACACAAGCAATAGATAAAAAAAATCACGGATTGATGAATCAGTGAAAAGAGGGAAAACTGCAACTTAGAGACTAGAAAATAACATCCAAAATTTTTGCCAGAACAGATTCTCTGAAGAGGCGACTGGCTGCAGACACTTAGCAGTGATTTGCTAAATTCATGTTTCTAACCGCTAATGTTCATCAATATCCTTCTATAATGAGTAAAAATTTAAATAAAAAAACACCTTCTTCATCTTCATTTGTATCACCTTTAATTGAAGTCTTGTTTACAGACTAAACATGCAATCAGTATAATTATTCTGGTTCAAATTTAAATCAGTGGAAGGTTCTAGTTCATCAGGAATTGTTTTTCTGAATGGGTTTATTATAACTGAATGCAATTACTGGTCTACTGGGTAATTCTGCTATAATTGAGTAGTTATTGTTTCTTGCTTTCAAGTTTTTTTCCCTACTTGTTTTAATTATTGCATCCATTTCCACATTAATGGAATATTTTAATTAAATGAAGGTCGAAATTCACTTAAACAGCAAGCAGCAAAGAACCAGGATGCAAAAGTTTCTGTAGCGGACTCATAAATAAGAATCGCTACACAATTCATGATTATACCACACGCTGTTCAAACCCATTGCTCACACTTGTCTGTCCACAGAGCACATTTAGAAAACTGCACAGCCTGTAGCACCTGCTCCATGATGTCCTTCACTTTATCCTGTTCGCAGTCCAGGATCACTCTCCTCTCTTTCTTGCTCTCCAGATCTTGGAAGAGTGAGCGGTAAGCTTCGTCCTTCTTCTCATCTTTGAGGTTTCCCACATTGATGGCCGTCACATGCCACTCCTTTATTGCTGCGATGTCCAGAACAACCTGCAGAGTTGTCAGGCCTGGAGACAGAATTAACAGAGAATTATTTAATAAACTTCAGGCTGTGACAGAAACATTAAACAACCATCCAAAGGTAAGTGCTGGATATTATGAACATATTATTTTCCACCAAAAAGATCTAACCTGAAATAAAGCACATGATATTTAACCTTAAAGTATAACCAGGCCCAAATCCATTTTTTCAGGTAAACTGTCTAAATTGACTTGTAAGTGTTCTATCTTTATATGTTTGTACAAATTTTAACATGTTTGTGTGAATATGTTTAGTTCTGAAATATTTTGCCTAAAGCCGTCTCAGTGCTGCCCTCCTCGGGTTGAACGGTGGCCACTGCAGTTGGATTCCACAGAACCACGTTCGGTATCATCTGGGTCCACAACATCACCCAAATACAGGAGATGAAGGAGAGAACATCTGACTGCAGCTGCATTCTGAGGATTTTAATTTCCCTTCTGTCCACCACACCAGACTGAAGTGACTTTTTAGGGCAACTGACAAAATAAAGTGCAGACAGAGATATAGAGGTTCACAAACATCATCACTGCATGAAACAAAGTCAGAAACAATGCTGATCAGAACCAACACAGTATCCTGAATGCTTCAGTGTTTTGCATTACAGTATTTGTCACAAGTGGATTTGCACACAATGGCAAATATATATGGAGAGACTTGGTTCATCACTTTTAAAACCCCCTATGGGATTCTATCTCCTGCAGTCAGACACATTTCTACTCAGGTCCTACTCCTCACTGGACAAATGACTAATTATTCACAGTATGAACTCAGCTTTGAGCTAGAGATTTTGAAATGGTTCCTTCTGTTTTTCTTATGGATGTGTTATGCATTGATGTCTGAGTTCAGCATTTGAAGTGCAACATCTCTTTCACAACATAGCGACTCTTCTGGAACTTTTCTTGTACATTTTATCACACAGAGAGTCAGATAATAAACATTATGCATCATTAACTACAACCATCAACAACAAGAATTTCTTTAAAAAATATATAGAGATACACCCTTTTTATCTTTATGTGAAATGTAACATAAAGGTTTTCATAAATACTGAATAAACTGGCTGTTGATGTTTTACAGTCACTTCCTAACTTATGTAAATGTCTCTGTATGATGAGTCACAGTTGCTCTGCCATGTACCTGGAAAACATGTGGGAGGAAAATGGCTGCAGCAAACAATGCACTCAACTACATCAGTACTGCTGATGTCTGATATGGCAGTGTGCTGTTGCTTTATTTGCTTTGAAATTAGTTGCTTAACAGTTTATTTGATTGTGTAATGTATGCTAAATGAATCCCAGAGGATCAACTCATTCCCTGTGATTTCACCTCAGAGACTTCTTAAAAAAGGAAACCACTTTATTTCTGATCCACATAATCATTTCAATAGAAAAGAGGAATTTCATTAATGTAACATAAAAAATAACTGTTTAGTGATATATGTATAATCAAAATAATAAAAAAAACTTAGTTTCAGTATACATTCTCTGAACAGAATCCATGACCATATATTCCTATCAACAACTAGTTTCCTTGGTAAATCTTTGCTGATATTGATTGCTGGCCAACAGAGAGCAGTTAGAGAGTGGTTTGATAAAAGGCTTGGCCGTTTCACTCCAACTCGCCATGCTGAGGTGAAATACAGATGTAATCAATTTCATGCGATACAGCCATAAAAGCATGGCATTGGTGAGGAAAACGGAGGCTTGCAGTTTTATCTAAGAGGGTGGTACATCATGTTTACCATGAGGTCATCATGGTGTAGTTAAATTTGACTGTTTTATTAAAGCTTAAAAAATGTGGTAATTACAGTTCAGAATGAGTTACAGGAAAAAATAATAAAAACAAGATATTAAAAAAGGTTTAACACCACATTAAAGCTGGACTGTAATTTTAGATAAATGTGAGCGTGACTGAGAGGTGAAGTGCACCCTGGACAGCTCACCAGTCCTTCACAGAGCATCATAAACATTATTTACAGAAAAACTGAAATGTCTTTGTTGCATATTCCCCCACAATGCCTGTACAGTATTTTGCATAAATGAAATATTTGAGTTACTTGTATAAAAAAAACCTCGAAGACAAGCGTCACTCCTTTATAACTCCAAGCTCTCCCTGAATTGTTTTCCCCTCATTCAGTTGAGGTAAAAACAATATTTCAAGTTATAATCCTTTGATTTAATGAATGAAACTCTTTGTAACTCAAAGAAATGGCTGAAGACATCTGATAAAACTCCAGCCAGTTTCATAAAAACACTTCAAACCAGAAGCTGGTCAACTTCAAACTCCTGCTGTGTGATTTTTGAAAGGACTGATGTATCATTGAGGGTTACCGTCAACCCTCTCCTGTTACACCTCTGTATGAGGAGTCGAGCAACATCAGAACCAATTTCACTTTAAAACATTCAGACGTCAGACGGGAAACCTAGCAAAACTTCTCAAAACCAAATGTGAGTTCAGAGTAAACAAACATGTCTGACTGGGAAGAAGCAACATTTCAGTAGGTTACATTGATCTGTGGAGATCACCACAAAATGAGCTGAGACAATCCACCTCTATTTCAACGGCCGTCCAAACAGACCCGATCACTGAAGACATCTGACAAAACATCACGCATCGCAGGAATCGGGGCAGCTTTAAAACATCTGATAACATCTGATAATGTCCAGTTTGCATGGCAAAAATCTTGCCATCAAACTGGGCATTATTAAAATCCAGCCTGTTAAAATATTTTACCAAATATTATTTTGCAATGTTAATATTTAGAGTCATAATATAATCCATCCCCAAATTAGCAGTTGATGTATTGATAAAAACAACAAAATCCCATTTTGATAAAGCCATGTTTTTTTCTATATCAAAAAGTAAAGCAAGTAAACTCATATGCATAGTGACATCTTGTGCATTCTTTTGCTCTTCCAGCTTTTACAAAGCAGCACTATTTAATGACCTGGGAACAAGAACAAACTGCAACTTCACTCACTAGCAGTAAAAACCATCAATTCATTAAGAGAACATTGCAGTCCCGGCAATGAAACTGAATTATGAATTTACCCAACTCTTAATTTTTCCACCAGTTTACTGGAATGCTTTTGCAGACGGGGTTACCTCCATATATGGTCGTTTGGGAGTTGAAGAAATTCAGAAATAAACCCCAAAGCAAAAATGATTTAGTTCACCCATTAGTTGGAAAGTGCTAATCAAATTCATCATGACCTTTAGTAACTCCAATGCCTCCTCACTTTTTTCTTGAGAAACACCCACACACAGACACGCTCACTTCATTTAGCAGCCGGCTCAGGCGCATACAATCTCCCTCTGTCGTTCTCTCTCCTCCGCTCTCGCTACACTTTGGTTGCCATGGGAATGAGAGGATCACACTGACCTAATTAGACAGCCATGCAATGATGAAATATGCACAACAGGCTCCTTAGTGCTTCCTTGGACGTACATTAGGGAGATCAGGTCATTGCTAGCATCAGCTTGGGGACGATCTAAAACTGCTTGTTCCTCTGATTTTAGAGAGAAGTTGTGTGTGATCCTCTGTTAAGTGGAAGGTAGGCTGCCAGGGAAGACACTCAATGAGAACAGAGGAGGAAAAGTACCAGAGAGACTAGACAACAAGCACAGGTTAGGAAACAAAAGGGCTTTACTATGTTCAATAAAGGGAACTCAAAGTCTGTAAGGCGATACGGCTCAGTGGGAGAATTTAAGTGATGTAAATGATAAAGATTGTAAGCTGATCCCTCCTAATCTGTCTGCAGCTCAGTGAACTCCATTCAGTCTGCACATGTAGCAATACAACTTGTAAGAGCTGATTTTCCTAAAGTTACCTTAAGCTACTGAGGAGGGAATTCAGGAAGCAGGGAAATCGCCTGCATTTCTGTTCAGGTTTTGCTGAATTTGTTGCTTTATTTGTGCAAAGGATTCACAAAGCATTTTGCCATAGTTCTAGGTCATACATACTCTACAAACAAAAGTGCCAAGATGATAAAACTTTTTCTTTATAATTGTAATAATCCACTCAGGATTTTTAGACAATTATTATTATTATTATTGCATGACATCGACTTTGTTTTGTAAGAAATATTGGCTCTGTGAATTTTGAACATTTTTTATTTTAATATTTAGTTTCATAAAAACTTTTACATGCATTTTAAACTAGAATATTTATTGTTCCCTCTGTATTTTTGTGATATTCATTTCAGAAGTTACCCTTGCAATCTAATATCTATTTTTAATTCTTATGTTAAAGTCCCATCAAAATATTCACTAGGTGAATATTATACACAATAAAGGTGCTAAAATCAATGCAATTATTTGACAGTTTTCCTGTATAATGGGTGCTTATGCATAATCACATGCAAACATTTAAAAATATGCTGAAACATTAGATGTTATAGAAGTCTTTTAGATGTGTTTAAGGGAGAAAGTTGGAGCACAAAATGAAGGGAATCTAAAAAGTGATCAGTATTCCAGCCTCTGATCCAAACATCATTTCCTGTAAACCCTGGGAGTTATGTCACAACACTGTTTTTAAATCAACATGTGAGGCTGCACATTGTAAAACACTGGAAGGATACATCTGCTTAATTGATTTATATGGAGATAAAGAGCATTCATTGGTTCAGATTGTAAAATTCTTATATAGTTGTTGGTACAAATACACTCCAAACATTAAAACTTGCAGAGTTGTATCAGGAAAAAGGAGGCATGTGTGTATGATTACAAACAATTGATTTCCATTATGAGAAGCTGTGCAGTGCAGATGTGTCTGACATCAGCTCTGGTGTAATCCAGACAGAGATTTCACTATTTGCTTCACACAGCTGAACTGTTGTGCTTTATTCCGGATTCACTCTCTAATTAATCAATTCACTACAAAGAAAGGAATGCCATAAAAGAAGCCTTTATATAATAATGATTATAGCGTTAAATTCAATACAACATCTCCGTCTACAGTTACTAACATAAAGGAGAACCATATCGATGAATGAATATTCCAATCACCAACTGGTTTCTGTGTTAAATCATTGCTGATATTGATCCCAGGTTGTTAGAGAACAGTTATGGAGCCATTTAAATGTGGACTGAATGGTGCATGAAGTGCTTTTCAGAACTGATTTGTCTTTGTGTCATATTTCTGAATTGGAAGCATGTGCAAACTCAGGTTTACAAACTTACAGCCCTTGCTGATATTGTTATTGTAAGATATGCATTTTTTCAAAAACAATCCTGAAACATTTTTCTATAAAACTAAAAATAACCACTTTCATCTTTGTAGTAAGCACAAAACCTGGGAAAACCGAAAAAGAAAAGCGTAAAGAAACTAAAACTTAATGTTCTCCACAAGAACAGAACATAAATTAAGTCTTTATTCAATGCTTCTTATCACAGTAGCACTGTCAAAAAATGACACTATGTATGCAAATGAGTTTCGCTTTTTATTACAGGCTAGTCACTCTTTACTGGAGAAGAATGCATTTTTCTGCAGAAGAATTAGTAGATGGCAGCAGAAAATGAGTTGCATGACGCAGTAAAGTGAGATAACTTACTAGAAGCAATTTTTCTGTCATCTTTATTACAGGTTATTATGGGCAGCATTCGTACCCATTCACTTTTTGTATTCCCTTGTCTTCTTTGTATTATGTCTTATTCCTAGTGGGTTTAAAAAAGGTTCAGTCTTCTCAGAATACAAAAGCCTGCTCTGTCTGTTAAACCTTTCAAAGAGTGTTCAAAGAAATCTAATCTTACTTTCAGATTTTGACACAATCAGTGTGAAATAGAAATGAACCTCTGATGAAAAGGATCAAAGAACAGTGTCAAATTTGATTTATATATCAGATAACTCTGGATATTAGTTTGAAGGTACATTTCTTTTCATCTATTTTAGAAATTCAATCTATGATCTTATTCAGGTCAGTAACCTCAGGTACACCTGCTGCTGACGGCAGTAGTTTCATTCATAAATATAGATTTTTGTTGTTGTTTTTGTTTGAATATTAAACATATAACTGTTTTAATCTACCACTTTCTGCAAATGCAAGCTTCTGGGATATAATTCACATCAGACTGTCAGCAACAACCCAAGTAAATCACACATACAAACGCAAAGTAGTTCACATATTAATTTGAAGGTAAAAAATATGTGTAAAAATGTAAAGAAAGCCAAGAAATCAGCTGACATCAGGCAGTATTTTGAAAGCACCAATGCTGCCAAATGCAAATTAATATCAGCCGGTTTAATATTAATAATCCACAAAAAGGTTTACAGTGAAAAGTTAAGAAAAGAAACTTCTAAGAATTATTTTAAAAAGCATGCTAATGATAATGGTTACTGCCGATTTTCTAAACACCTAAACGTTCCAGTGAATGCCACTGAAAACTCAAATGAAGAAGAGGAACGATAATTTCACCAAACCAAAGCCAAGAGCCTCTCAAATGATTTTCTGACAAAAGGATTTGAAAGAATATTCGACAGACTTGTCCGAGACACACACAGATCTTCAGAGAGACCTGAAAATAGCATGTTCAGTTATTCCTGTGACATCAATAAATGCTACTCAAGTCATTAATACACATGATAAACAGCTTGGGCCCAGAACTGAGCCTTGTGGGACACCACAGGTAATATTCAAGCATGCTGATTTGGACTGGGTAACAGATGCTTCACATCCAGAGGTATAAGGACTCAAACAGATTTCCTGTGAGGGTGAGCGAACGGACCAGAGAGGGGACAAACAAAGAGGAATATTACACAAATAAATCCACCGTTATATATTAAGTAAGATTTTCTGGTTTGCAGGCTTTTAGCTCAGTCTGCTTCATGAATCTTGTGAAGCAGTTTAAAGTAAAGCAAACAGTAGTTCCAAACAAATTAAATTTATGAGGGAGATTGCATTGTTTGTGAAATTCCTTCCTCAGTTTCAAATAGCACAGGAAAACTATTGTGGATTCTTAAACAGCTGAGTTGTGGTTTGTTACGTACCGAAGCTTTTTGTTAGATCTATTGCCTGACACTCAGAGACCGTTATCGACAGCCTGTGATAATAAAAGCAGCATTCTGCCCCATGGCACCATCGGGTTCACAATGGAAATCTCACCCTTCAACAAACAAACATATTTGGTCGTTTCCAAATAAAAGAAACTTAGCAGAAGAAGGAGTAACTTTGTGTGCACACATCTGCAGGCATATCTATACTTTTATTTCTGTTTTATTTTACTGGAAGTGGGATGACATACATGCCCTTTGTCTATTAGAAGTTTATCAGTGACATGTCAGAGCACTTTTTAAATATATTTTATCATCAAAACAGGCTTTTGTGGTGAAAAAGCACGTTCACTTCACAAACATAAGAGATGTAAACAAATGCCACCGTTTGGAGCAGGGATGGAAATAAAGAGCTGCAGGTTATTTTATCTCCACTGTGGTATCATGACTGGCTGCACCTCCTCACCCATGTTACATAAAAACACCCTAAAACACATGACCTGCTGTAGCTGATTACACTTGACAAGCTGATTATCATGATCCAACATGCCCTTTAGCTTCACCCTTACAGTGTTTGTTGGATTTTTAAGTGTTTTGTTCAGCAGCTGAACTCTGAGAATATGATTATTGCAGCTGGAACCAGTTCATCCAGAACTTTTATTTCTGGATGAAATAAAAGTTCATCCAGAAATGATGGATGAACTCTGGATCTTCTGAGTAATCCAGAGAGTGCTGCTTCTTCAACATCGCACTCTGCCCAGTAAATTGGTATGCTGCCATATTAAATTCAACTGGTTTGAGCCTTAAACTGAAAACAATGCTGAAATAAATCCCCCAAATTGTTCTTTAAGAGTTCTAGTTTGGGCCTCACCTCGATCGCTGTCATACAGATAGGCGAACTTGTCCCACTTGTAGTACTCGATCAGGCTGAGGAGGGGCCCCTTGATATCAGGCCGCATCTGGATGACGAACTGCTGGTTTCCGTCCAGAGGGAAGCTGGGCGTTATGAAGGACACATGTAGCGTGCCACAAAACGACGTGATGGTGTTGACGGACTTCTTATCATAAAATCCAAAGATGGCGTAGACTCCTCTTGAGAACTGTGAACAAACTGGAAAAAAAAAAACAAAAAAAAAAAACACACATGCTCAGATTTAAAGCTTGGATTGTGATTAAAGTTATTTAAATCTTAAACTGTTGTGGTGCTTATTTGAGCTTCTGAGCCAAACTCAGAGAAATGTTTTCCTTTTTTGTGCATTTTTAAGCAAACTGATCAATTTAATTCCTGCTGTAACTCAAAATGATTTACATAATAAATCCAAGGCCTTTAATATGATTACTACACATAAAAGTGAAATATTAAGGGACATCTTCAGCTGATTAATGGATACATTTTAACCTTTTTCTTCACAAAACCAAAATCATCTGACTCAAGATTTCTTTTAACAGTAATCTAGTTAATTATAACCTTTTCACCACTAAATGTGCCAAAGTGTGTTAAACATAGTCTTTAGCACATCTCTGAAGACAATGAAACTGTGCTCTCTTTCTTGTAAGGACGTTTAGTGCACCAACCCATTATTTATTCTGTCTTGCTTTATCATGTCATTATTACCAGACTGTCATTCTGGTGACCTACCAAAATAAAAGCCACAGTATAACTTTTCTGGCCACTGTAATTTCTCATCCAAAGACAATAAATAGTTCATGTAAACTCATATTAAGAATAAACTGATCTTCTGAGTAATCCAGAGAGTGCTGCTTCTTCAACGTCGCACTCTGCCCAGTAAATTGGTATGCTGCCTGTAAATGCATATTGATCAAATCTGGAATAAGTTAGTGTTATTGATGTAGACGTGTGTCTTGCTGGGTAATCAATCTAATGAGTATTTTCCTCTAACAATAGTGCAGAGAAAACTGCTGGCAACAAAAACAGACAAAGTAATTGACATGAAGGCTTAAGTTTTCAAATTTCTTGTCAAGGACAGGGGCGCAACTACATATTATTCAGGTGGATGCGAAAACATAAATCGCCCCCCTGCCCCCAAAGGAAGGTACGTAAGGGTGAAGGAGCGTAGAAAACATACGGTCGCTCTATCCATATGAGTGACCGTATGTTTACCCCTTGAGACGAAGACACGTGAAAGGTAAAACTCGTTACGTTTACATTTACATGTGCACGAGGTGAAGGAGCGTAAGGGCGCAGTGAAGTGTATGCGAAGGCATCATCGGGGCGCAGCCCCCTCCAGACGGGGTTTTGACGCCCCCTCTGGTGCAGCGCCCCTATGCGTTGCATCTGCTGCATACCCACTTTTTGCGCCACTGGTCAAAGGTGAATGTTTTAAGAAACTGGAAGTGATCTTTTAGTTCAGGTGAGGTAGCAATGTGCTGTGGTGAACCGACTGTGTCCCTTCAAGAGTTAAAAGCAGGTATAGAAAACGGATGATGTCTCTTAGCACTATTGTATTTTTCTAAAATTGTCTTTAGTCAAGCAGTTTTATTCTTACATTTTAGACTGAATGTGCAGCTGATTAAATTTTATTTCTGGTTTTTAAGGTGAAAAGCCTGCGGTAAGCTCTAACTTTGTTCTAGCTCAACTGATTTGGTTGAGTTTACTCCAAACTAAAACAAAAATGTTTTACTAATTACTAGAATGTGCAAAAAGATGGTGTTGCCATGACATTGCTGTCCATCGATATTGCCAGAACTTTCTCTGATGACACTTTTGCTGGTTTGCTTCCTGGCTTTGCCCAGGATTAAAACTCTCTAAGCTCATGCTTAGAGACTGGATATCCCCACGACTACACTGCAGCTTATGCCAGAGCAAACTCTGACAACATTTCACTTTATTACCAAATATGGTATTTCACATTCATGATCAATGTCTGCACGCAGTAAGGGTTCTGGTGGTCTTTCTGGGTCTGACTGAGTCTAAAGTAGAATGTCAAAGACTTCTATGTACACTTTGTCAATGACAAATTCAAAAACTTTTAATTAAAGAAGAAAAGCCAAGCACAAACAGTAAATCCTGGAAACAGTGACGACTGTAGAAAAGCCATTAAGCCTCTGTTACATCTGACTGCTTTTCACTGAAACTCAATATTAATTCTTAGAAATCTCACTCCAAACAGAGAACAAATAAGAGACTTGCTTTGTTTCTCCTGCTGAAGAGGTCACCCTAATTAGGCACCAAGAGCAAACTGCTGAAAAAAAGACTATTCCTCCACTCTCCTGGGTCTGTTAATTGCAACAAAGAGGCTGTTTTTCAGTCCATGTTTCTACTTTAAAGATAAAAGAAATCCAATTGTTTAGGGAAAGTGTGATAAATTAATTTGTACTCCCACCAAAATACAAATACAATATTATAGTTATATATTATTTTTTCATGCATTAAAAAAAAGCAAACCAAATTATGTGAATTCACATAAAATAACAAATATGCTTCATATTTATTTTATCTTTTTTTAAATGTACCTTCCAGTGTCATCTAGAACAAAACAAACAACTACAACAAAATAACCTCCTTATGTATGCAATAAGTAAGATTATGTTCTACTGTTCATATTTATTGGCACCCCTATTAAAGAGTACCAAGATCTTCATAAGGTCAAACATTTATCTTCTTTTTACGTTTGATTGCAGTACATTTAACTTGTACTGAAGAACTACAGCAAAAAGTGAAATTCTGGGGTCAAAAGGTCAACAATAGCAGTCATTAGATGAGACCTTTACAATAGCAAAGTTTTGAGATTGAAACCAGAAAAAAACTTTTTTCTGTCCTCCCATCACAGAGGTGAATCAGAAGTGTGCTACAGTCTACTGGGACTTGGACTAGGACAGAGTTCCTTTGGTTATAAAACTAAGATTGAGCTTTTTCGCAAACCACAATCCAGGCGTCTCTGGCCTATAACAAAGGATAAACATCTGGATAATCACCTTATGCCTAATGAGTACGGTGAAAGATCGGTGATGCTGTGGGCTTTTTCTGTTTAAAGGCCATGGGAAGTTTGTCTGTGCATGACATCAGCATGGAATGTGATTCTGGAGAAGTTAACCAGTAAAAGTGAAATGACTGGATATTTCAAGTAATTTAATGATTAGTGATTACTAAAAATATAATGCTTTTTTAGTACGATAATGATTATATTAATGCATCAATTTGCTCGCCAGCCACAAAGTTTACATTTTTCCATGGTCTTCCAATCCTAACCCGTTTTGTGGAGAAGCTACAGAATGAAGTTGAAGTGATTGTGTAAAGCAGAATGTTCACAGATCCCTTTATCTTCAAAATTTGGGAAATGCTTCAGAAAAAGACAAAGTGTTGTCCTACATGTCAAAAACTATATGTATGGAAAGAGTAATAACATTTCCAAACATGAACATGCTGAAATTCACAGTAGGATTATTCTGAAATCCTACTTTCAGAATAGGTAGTTAAGCTTCTATTTTGTCATATTATGTTGCTGCAATAAAAACTTAATTTATTTTAACAACTTTTATGCATCTTTATAAGGAGTGCCAACAAATATGGCTGGAAATCGTTAAGAGTCTGACATCTTTGTGATCAGGTCAAAATCCATATGCTGACTCTGCATCTTGAGTCGATGCAGAGCAACGGTGAACAAATAAAGCCAAATTTCATTTGTTTGTCTTGATTTGAACATTTGTCTGACCATTGGGTCGTTTATTTTATTAACTATAGCGTCGTCAGCAATAAACCCAAAGTCTGTGGTCATCACAAAGTTGTAATGAACTCATTACACTGAGCTTTCTAAATCTGTTGCAGCAGTGACTCCTGCACCGAGTATCACCACCCAAGGAGAGGGTGTACCCTGCTAAATATATTTAGCTGTCCCAATTAGATGACCTCATTTTCACCATTATTGCTCCGCTGCTCTTCCACTGTTTACATGGGGGCTCCATTACTGATCAAAGATTAAACCTGCACCAATTAGCGGTTAATAAAACCAGCTTGTGTTAAATATCAGCAAGAATGAAAGGTATTTAACTGCAAATTCAGCTGATATTTGCTCCCGGCTGACATCCCAAACTTTACATGAGGGGATGAAAGACTGCTCAGTGCCAAACTAGATGTGGAGCTTTAAACTTTTCATTATTTTTTTGGAAAACAAACATTTATGCTTGTCTTTCTATTGAAATACAAGACAAAATATGTGGTTCAAGTAAAATATTTTTGTTTTTATGCAATTTATAGGTAATACAGAAGGAAATCAGAAGCCCAGTACATCAGTAAAACAATGAGTCAGTGTGCAACACAAACTTGCATTCACACGCTCCACATGTCTCTGTGGTGGTGATCATCAGCAGTCCAGTCACAGCTAGCAGAACGTGACTGTTACATATCTCATCCTCCCCAGCAGCAGCGTTCTCACCAAGAGGAAACGCCTCGAGACTTCGGGCCATTTTATGTAAAACTGATCTGTCACCAGTTGGTGCGGCAGCTTAAAGCCACCAGCCTTTCTGTCATGCTGTATCCTGAGCAGATTTGTCGCAACTATAATTGTTGAACAAGCAAATTTTAACCTTGAAAATCTAAAGGAAGGGAGCGTTTCAAAAACATAGCTGAGCAGTCCTGTCACCTCGATGTAAAAACTGGATTTCACGAGTAAAAATTTTTTTCTCTCTTTTTTTTATATTTTAACCAGATTTTTTTCAGCAATGGACTTTTTCATGTAGTTTCTCTTGCAGTATCAAAGCTACTTGGTCTACATCAGATTTCTTGGTCATTCAGCATCACTGGTCTCTAAGTAGGACATGAAGGTTTTCCTCAGCTGGGACTGAGAAGCAGATCAGAGTCAATGAAAGGATGGAGCTCAAATACAGAACAAAATACAGGAAGATAATTTATTAGTTTAGAAACAGAAATACTTAAAACATTTGATCCCAGTCATCTAGTTCAAAGTAATGCAGAGGAAACGTATGTAAACTTCTGATTAGTACATCAATCCCTTGCATATTTCTTCTTTCATTGTTGTGGTAATTAGCAAATAGAAATGGTTTTTGTAGTTCTAACAGACCTGAAACAAGAGAACTTTGGTCTGATTTAGCTTCAGTCATTAAGAAAAAAAATGTCCATGTCTTTTTTTTTTT